CTTGTTTTGTTGAGAAAAATGACACAAGGCATTTTTTGCGTCTATAACTTTCACGTGGAACCACCATTGTAGCCAAAATTTGCTGTGGTATACTTGGCTGTGGTATACTTGAAGCTATCTAGAAGTCAAGTGAACGGTCGTCCTCAAATACTTTCATTGGTACAGCAAGGGATCGAATACACGTTCTGGCCATCTTAAAAGAAATGTCCTCTCTCTATGCAAGTGCCTCATAATTCGGTTTGGTTGCTGAAAGATAACGCAGCAAATCGACGTTCAACAACAAAAATTCAAAATCACCTGTCATTACAAGAAAATATAATCAACGGTTCGTTTACTATAAAATAATGTAGTTAACAATTTTTTCAAACTGGAGACCGATTAAAAAATGAGTTTGGCAAATATATCATGTAGTTACAAAATGTAGAAGAAGACGCGTCTTATTTAAGGGTCTCCCTTATGTGCTGTATCTTCCTGTGGATTCGCCAGTGGGCAATGAAGTGTTTTCTGTTCACGTGACTGCAGTTGGCACCAAACTGGAAGACATCCGATATGACCTGCCAGGTGAGTTTAGTGTGAAATGATCAAATGGCGATTTCCATTCTTACGTGACTGTTACATGAAAATTGTGTAACAATTATGTAAGTTTAGTGAGTTTAGTATTAAATTTTCATCGGTGATTCATTACTATGAAGGTTAATCGGGACCGTTTAATCCAAAAAGTATATGCACCAAAAGAGCATCTTATGAAATTGACCTCTCGCAGAAAATTCGAGGAATTAAGCGAAGCTTCGTTTGGCGTGGAAAATTAGGTCAAAGTTGCTCAGCTGCAAAGATGGAAGATTAAAACGATTATTTCAGAAGCATGGCTCTCCTAATTCTTTGGCGGTTTTCAAAAATACCTCAATTCTTATATTCTAGCACGGCTGGTTATTGTGTGGCGATGCCTTCTTCAAATTGCGGAATCTTTACTGCTATAATAACTGAAACACTGAATTTTCAAATCTGGTGCATGTATAACTTCGTAACTATTAATTTTTCCAGACAACCAGTTCACCCACTTGTTTTCAATCGACTCCACGACCGGTAGAATCAAACTTCTGCAACCACTTTCCACTCTCAACACAGCCGGGGCGACACTGGTGGTGCGAGCACACGACTCAAAAAACGAGGAGCTATCGGTCATGGCCGAAGTGCATGTTGAGGTAAGAAATCAAGTGTTAGATAACCCAATATAAAATACGTAACTGTTACACAAAAATTATGTAGCAGTTATGTAACTGTTACATAAGTCACGCAAATTTCATTAAGATGACGTAACATTTTCGGCTGGCTGATATAATCAGCGCTGTGGATCTACTTAACAATCTCCTCCCATTTCTCGAATTGCGGAATTGTTATTATTACGAGGCCAAACTGTGCACTGGATAGGCGCACAATTTTGTGTCTGTAGGTTTTCAGGGTTCTAGAGACAAATATTTAGGCATGTTCTAAAATGTAAGACGATTCCACTTATAAAAGTTCCGTGGATTCCACGTACAATCACCAGTAGCGTAAATTTTGTCAGCACATTAGTTTTGTTGCGGATTCTGCAACGAGCGATTTTAGGTAATTGTCCTGGATTCCGCAAATGTAAGCGGAATTCGCGACTGTAAATGGATTCTACAAGATTATGCGGATACCGCTTACAATTTGTGGATTCCGCTTACAGTTTGCGGATTCCATTAACAATTGCGGATTCCACGACAGCTTAAGTTTACTAAACACATACATTATCATTTGTTCATGGATTCCACAAACTGTTCTGAATTCCGCAAAATTTGTTGCAGATTCCACAAAGTTGAATGTTTTTGGAGCAATTTTGAGCAATATAGTGTTTTAGCTATTTGTCCGTGAAATCCAAAACAACAAAGATGATCAAAGAAAAGTAGCAATGTTTTGGCCTGTTGCGGAATCCGCTTATAGTTTTTAACAAATTTATCGGACAACATATTAAATTTCTGAAATAAGTTTGACCTTCAAATCTAAACTAAATCGAAATACTTTTTTCGCGCTTGCTTTCGTGTCGGCATTTTATGTGCATTTTTGCTCTGAAAAATTACATGGCAAAGCGTTGTTGAATGAAAATGTTATTCAATTGTGCTTTTTAATAAGGCAAAAATGAAAACTTCCGAAGAAGTGCAATCATTTGCACTGCTATTTTAGTAGTTCAAATGCAATTTTGAAAACTCGATTGCAGTTTTAACGCAATTTCACTGTCTCGAGGTCAGAATTATTTTAAAATTTTGTCCGATAAATTTGTTAAAAGTTATACAATTCACAAAATGCACAGTTTGGCCTCGTTATGAAGTAGATTCAGAATTTTGTTTTGTTTATTCAGACTTGCGATTTGTAAAAAAGAAATTGCTTAGAAATCAGATATCTGAAGCATCTTAGTTTTTCAGATGGCAAAAAAAGTTTTGTTAGTTTTCTGGGGAGCGGTGTTGAAGTGGTAACGTCTCCGCCTCTCTATCGAAAGGTCGGATGTACGAGGCCCACTATGATCCGTGCTCGTTGCTTGAAGGTGAAGCAACATTACCAAGCCAAGAAAAATAACCAAAAAATGCATGTAGTTCTTCAGCAGGGGCACAACAGCGGTTCGCCGTGATTGAGCTGTACAGCTAGTATGTTGGTCTTTTCCCTTGAGGATAAGTGATCTCAACTAAGATGTTTATGGAGAACAGAACCACTGCTGTGCGTCTCTGACCAGGGTATAAAAAATGCATACTGTTTTGGCGTTTTTTGTCCTGGGTGTTGTTGCTTTAACTCCTCTTCCCAAATAATTCCAACAATTATGGCAAAAAAAGCAGACCTACTTTAAGAGATGATGTGTATACTAAAAGCATTCTCTTTATGATTTAAAATTTCTTTCAACGCCTGAGTCAGGTTTTCAACCAGCCGAATTCGCCTCCTCTGTTCTCCTTGGCCGAATACAATGTGTCTGTGGCCGATGACGTCACAGGTGGTGACTTTGTGGCTCAGGTGTTCGCAGAGGACGGGGATCCAGGGCCCTACGGAAGTGTGAAGTACCGAATAGTGAATGACTCTTCAGGTTGACCAGATTTAACATTTTTTCAGTTTTTTTATTTTTGTCTTTACAATTTATAAAAATTTGTCCATCCTTGACTATGTCAAATAAATTGATTTTCAGGCCTTGCCAAAGAAAACTAGAATTGCAGTAAAACCTTTGAGAAAATGAGCCAAAACTTTTACTCCAATGTATATGCATTTTTTTTGTAGAGTTGAGATTCAAACTTCAGACTAGAAGTAATTATGTCTTGACCCAACCTTTTTGGTCGAAATTGACTGCGAGTCAAATATAAATCTTTTTTTAACAAAATGAGCGTCTAGACCAAAAAAAATTTCTCGAACTGTAATTTATCTGAAAGCTTATCGAAAACTGGCAGCTCTCTTCGATTAAAATGACAAATGACAAAACTAAATAGCCCGAAAACAAAATTTTTCACCACTTTACGTGGGCGGAACGATGACACTTTAAAAAGGTAAAAGATTACGGTAGAAGTAAAAAATAAAAGTTTGTCAATCTCTTCAAAAAACTGCAAAACCTTTGACGGCGGCAAACGCTATATTTTGTTTTGAATGTCACCCAGGGGCGGATCTAGGATTTTCTCGAGGGGGGGGGGGCGGCGGATTTTCAAAAAAATTCGAAAACTTTGACGACCTTTTTTTTTTTTGGTCGACCAAATTGATTTTTCGAGCTCTCCCAAAGCACTGTTTTGCCCCTATTTCGGCTAAATTTTCTGCTCCGCAGGCAAATTTTTGAAAAAACAGTCAAAAAAGCCGTTTTTGGCACTTTTTGAAAAATTTTGACAAAAAAAATCGCGTTTTTTTTGGCGCGCGCTCCTCCTCAAAGTTAGTATATATTGGTGCCCAACGCGCCTTTAGAAAAATTTTAGGGTCGGTCGGCCAAAAATGGATTTCTGAAAAAGTATCAAAGGGGGGACCCTTTGGGTCGGCAGGGGGTCGAATCCCTGAGGAGGGGGCGTCCCCCCGCCCCCCCCCCCCTAAATCAATTCCTAAATCAATCGATTCATTGTCAATTTCTATTAAATGCCAAAATAATCAATTCTAATTGAATAAAAAAGAATTATTATATTAATTTTTGTCAAGTCAACCAAACTTTAATAAACTATTATGGATTATAATCCTTTTTTCCTAAATTATTCTAAAAGTATCAAACAAAGTGCAGTATATTTAAAATTTACAGCTGCTTTTGGATAGCAACACATTGCATCACATTAAAAAAAAAAATTACTTTGGTTGACAAAGTAAATATCCTGTTTTCAATGTTTGGTTCACAATTTTTTGATCCATTTTTTAGTTTTTCTTTTTTTTTTGCTCAAACGTTTACCCCCCCCCCCCCCCCCCCACGTTTAGACCACGTTTAACGTCCATCCTCGCCGTTTATCCCCCTCTACGGGGGCGGCGGTAAAAATTTCTATGGAATTTATCTATTACAATTTAATCATTTTCATGGTTTAAAATTGCAACGATTATTGATTGTAATGACAACATTTTAGACTACATTGTTCACTTATAATCAATTTGTATCCATGAAACTCTGGTGCGGGCAAAAATAATTTTTTAGAAAACTAGCCGTGAAAAATAAATGGCTAATGGAGCCGAAAAATAGGCAATTTAGAGTATTATTTGGCGCTGATACATCGAAAACTTAAGTACTCAGGGGCGGATTTAGGAGGGGGCGGGAGGGGGGGGGGGATGCCCCTTTTAGTGATTCGACCCCTGCCAAAACCAAAGGGTCCTCCCTTTGGTACTTTTTAAGAAATAGATTTTTGACCGACCGACACTAAAATTTTTCTAAAGGCGCCTTAGGCGCCAATGTATTATAATTATGAGTGGGGAGCGCGCGCCGAAAAAACGCGATTTTTTTATCAAAATTTTCCAAAAAGTGCCAAAAAACGCCTTTTTTTGGCCTGTTTTTCAAAAATTTTGCCTGCGGCGCAGAATTTTTTTTCCAAAACAGGGTCTTTTTAGTGCTTTGGGAGAGCTCGGAAAATCAATTTGATAAACCTAAAAAAAAGGTCGACAAAATTTTCGAAAATTTTTTGAAAATCCGCCCCCCCCCCCTCGAGAAAATCCTAGATCCGCCCCTATAAGTACTGTAGCTGTCTTTCTGAGAAAAATAAAATTGTTTCGTGCCTTTTAATTTTCCAGCTGTGCCTTCAGTGTCAAATTTTCAGCAACTTTGTTCACACATCGATAAAACACTACGTTGATTAGGTAAAATTATCTGAAATGCCCTGAAAAGAATATCGAAATCTGTGCCGAGTAGTGCTTGTTGACTTTGAGCTCTTGTGAACCTTGCAATATCGCCGTTCAGACTTAAATCTATAATTTTTGAACATCATTTTTATTTATTTTTGTAGGTCACTTCGACATAGATGACAGATCCGGTTTTGTCTTCATCTCCCCAGGCGCAAGTCTGTCCCTGGAACCAGGGGTTCGCTTCTTGTTTGATGTCCTGGCTACAGACAGTGGCATCCCCCCTCTGAGTTCGAGGGCGGGGGTGGTGGTTAATGTGTTGAGTGCATCCACTGCTAAGGTGGCTTGGTTCGAGCAGGCGTTCTTGTCGGTTAATCTCTCAGAGGTAAATTTACACCATTATATTTTCGAATTTTTTATGTCGAGAGTGGTAAAAGTAACAGCTCATAACAAATTCCAGTTCATTTTTTTTGTATTTTTTTTAAGAAACCATTTTGTGTTTCAAAAAAAAAATTATGTTGAAACGCAAAACTTGCACTTGAAAAATGCAATGAGCTTGAAAGTGGATGAAATCAGGGGTGGATTTAGCGAGGGGGCAGGAGAGGGAACAAATTTTGACCCCCTCACCAACCAAAGGGTCCATATGACATCCAGTTTTGGTTGACCAACACTAAAGTTTTCTAAATGCGCATTTTGCGCCAATATAAACTAATTTTGAAGGGATTGCGCGCCGAAAAATATCAAATTTTTGGTAAAAATTTTCCAAAATGTTCAAAGACGGCTTTTTTTACCTGTTTTTTTTTTTCTTCAAAAAAGTGCATGCGGCGCAAAATTTTTGGTCATAATACGGTCTTTGTAGTGTTCTGGGATTGCTTGGAAAATCAGTTTGGTAGACCTAAAAGTTTTTGAAAATCCGCTCCTCCCCTCGAGAAAATTCTAGGTCCGCCCCTGCATGGAATGATCGAAAGCCGTGCAAATTTGAGGTCAAATGCCGAACGCCGAAAAGAGAGGGGGGAACTTTTTTTAGAAGTATATTTCAACATGCATATTGGCAGACCTTTGGAGCCAATATGAATTAATTTTAACGGAGGAGCGTGCTCTAAAAACAGCGTCAGCTTTTGTCTGTTTTTTTTTTCAATTGTTTTGTCTGCGGCTAAGAAAGTTGTTACAATTTCGGGTTTTTATAGTGTTTGGAACAGCACAGAAGATCAATTTTTTGACTAAAAAAGGACGACAAAATGTTCAAAACGTTTTTTGAAAACCCTGCCCGTCGCACTCCCTCAAAAAATTCCTGCAAACACCACTGCTGCGAGAAAAGCACAATTTCGTTTTTTGAAAAAAAAATCAGTTCGCTCAGTGATTTTTTTTCTATTTAGAGCACTCTTCCTGGTTCCGATATTGCGACTGTACATGCTAGGTCAGAGAAGATGTCTGATGCCTTCGAGTACTCCATAGTGGCTGGAAATACAGACGACTCTTTCTCGGTTGAGCCGACTACAGGCGTCGTCCGAACTGCGAAACAACTCGACTACGAGTCTGGAATAACTTCCTATAAGGTTGCGATCTCGTAATCATCAGTATTATATTCTGCTTTAAAGATATATTTTTATTCATACATTTAAAAAAAATTTATTTGAAATTAACTGAGAGGTGCAGGTTTTTTATGAAAATGAAAGTTCACTGATCTCAAAAAAAAACGGATGAATTTTAGAGAATATTTTTGTTCGATCTATCTTATTGATTTTTATCAATCATCTCGAAAATTATTACATCTGTGGTTCTCAAATAATCTTTTGATTCTTTAATACATGGCCAGTTCTTCGTATGCAAAATCAAAGATATAGATCTTTTTATCAACCATATTAGCTGAAATATCAATCGATATAATTTTTGTTCAGCTGTTGGTTTCTGCATCATTTGCTGACTCATCTTCCTTTCCCGAGACAGTCTCGGCCTTCGCTACAGTATTTGTTCAGCTCGTGGACGAGAACGACAATGTACCTGTTTTTGACCATACGAAGTACCACTTTGAAGTACCCGAGAACTATTTGGGCCCAATTGGGAGCGTGAAAACATCTGATTTAGACTCGGATTTGAATGCCGTTGTTACATACACCATAAGTGACAGTAAGTGTTCTGTTTTTGTTTTTTATCTTTTGAAACTGATTTCCGTCAAAATAATTCTAGCTATTTTTGCCTATTCTTGAAAAGGCTATGTCTAGGATGAATTTTCAGTCATTTGAATGGAGTAATCTAGGATGACTTTATCTGAGATGTTGTTTTTGCAGAACCCTGATCAAAATTGGATCTATTTAGTTTTGTTTTTGTTAAAAAATTAGATTAACCTAGATAGTTGAAACTGATCTAAGGCGGTATTGTAGTTGGCATTTAAACTAACACTAGTTTAAAAAGTATAGATAGTTCAAAGATTCTCTATTAAAAATATTTAGTAGACTTTTAAACTAAGACTTGTTTAAAAGAAGGTTAGGTTAAGTTGTTAAATTGAAACTAAAACAAGAGTAGCTTAAAACATAACATTTCAATTGAATTAAAAATAGTGAGATAAAAATTATAATGACCAGAATAATGAGTAGCGGCAGAATTTGTGGTGCAGTAAAAGTAAGGTTGAGCAACGGAAAAATATGGTGATGAAAGTTTGATTGTTAATACACTATGAAAGACAAAATTCAAAATCCACTATAGTATGGAAACGATTTTACTAACCAATGATACAGTAATTTCTACTCAAAAGCACAAACTAAGTTATGCTGGGTTAAGCAGAAATGAAAAAAAACTGCGAAATCTAAAACTTTGATGTACACAGATAAGGCGCGTTTATTTTCTCAGTTTCTTGAGTTTCTCTATGCGCCATCCCAACTGGCTGACTTATGCGCTGTCCATCGTCTTAACTCCTCTTGAATCATAGTGCGTCCATTGCCTCGATAATTGAGATAGTCTTCATTTAATCTGGTATAACCGGTATCGCCGAATCCTTGGGATTGCACGTCGGGTTGCATTCTGTTTTTTGATCACTGGATTAAATTTGGCCGTTTTCGGAGGTGGTCGACTAGTTTATTCTGTAGAACTTCAATTTGCCGGCCGTCAATTCGTGGGCCATTATGGAGTATCCGGGGTGGTATATCTCAGTGGTGAGCAAATAGGAGTGGTAAGGTCTACGCATTAGACTGGTAAGTTCTCGACTTCTAAGGTCAACGCCTCGAAGTTGGTGCAAGAAGGAGTTTTAGGCATGTTGACTGGTGCTCTCGCGGTCTAACCAAATTAGTGAAGACTCTCTCACCAAGCAACGACGGTGGTTGTCTACTTCATAGCGGCCTCCTGGTGTGGCTGATATGAGCATCTGAGATTTTTCTGGGGGTGATGACTTCATCGGAGAGCATCCTTAGATTTTGCCGTTCCGGTCGGCTTTGCTTTTAGGGAACTCTGAATACGCTGAGGTTCCGTATCAGGTTGATCGGCATGGGCTGGCCCGATAGTGAGTTCAACTTCCCACTCTCGTGGGTAGAGTTCGGTTTTGCTGTGGCGGTGTAGTCTTCCTGTGCCTGAGCAGTTAAGGTTCTTTCTGCGCTGCGCTTTCTAGGAAAACTACTAGTGGAATCATGAGCGTCTCTTGAGTTGAGGTCCTACTGTTTGTGGTTTTTTCAGTTTTGTGTGTTTTTCTCGATCAGCACATTCTCTCCGTTGTCGGTCTGTGGCTTTACTCTTACGTGATCGTCCAACTCTGATTCTATCCTCTTCGGCAATTCTGCGGGGTTCTTTGTTGCCTCCCATGGTTTTGTTTGATGTCTGCTTTCAGGTCTTTCAACAGGACCAGATCATTTTCCCTCGTCGTCTGACACTGTCTAGGTCAAAATATCGATAAGCCTTTGGGATTTGTCCGTTTCTTCCAAGATTTGAGTTGGTCACAGTTGACCTGATGAGACAAAGTCACTTTTACTCCTAGCTGTGTACGAAAACGCTTCCTCTGGTCTCCATCCTCCCGCAAAAGTGTTTCCTTGACCTGTTCAACGCCACGTTTCTCCTGCCGATGTCGAGCTGCTCAAAATTCGCCGTTAAATTTTATTTTAGTTTGGGTAGTTTTCGAGTTTTTAAAACCCACGTTTCCTGTCGGCTCTATGATTTGTTTAGGGCCCTATGTCGCGTAAAACTTTTTTGATTGTTTTTGCGTGATTTTGTTTTTTTCAACTCTTTAGGTTTCTTAACTGCCGACGTCTAGTTATCCGTCTTCTATGTGGTTTGGAGCGTCCCAGTCATGTCGTTTTTTGCGGCACATCAGTTTACTTTCCTTATGTATACAAATTAAGGCATTGTTCCAGTTAACTTGTTTATTGATGGATGTCTTTGTAAGTTGTGCCATTTTGTGTTTCGTGTTCTACCAAAGTGAGCTTCGAAAGGTGAGCAATTAAGTTATTGTTGAGTTACTGTTTTTAGTCGTGTTATGATTCTCAGTAAAGTTATTTCCAGAGGTGGTTTTGATTTTTCCTGAGTCACAACAAATATTTGTTCTATAATGGTTCTAATTAGTCGTTCGACTTGACATGTTGCTCTGTGATCAAACACTGGGCTGAACATAACGTTTATGTTTTGACCTTGGCTAAAATTGCGAAAGTTTTTCAAAATGGAACCCAAACCTTGGTCTGTTCTAATTGATCTAGGTATTCATTGTTATACTGAAAACTGAATTACTCGAAATTTGATCCTTGTTCAGAACAGAAAAACAACCCATCATTGATTCGTCCAATCAAGTGACTGGAATAAATATGAATGTTTACAATTTGATCATCTTCTCAAAAAAATTACCCGACCCATTCCTTCAAAATTACAACATCTGTTTTTGCTGCAGCACACTGTTTTAAAAAATAAACTTAACAGAAAAAAGAGAACACAGTGCGGTTTTTCTGTCAATACATTACCAGTTGTTTAAAAACGGCATTGCTAAAAACTTAGTCTGCCTACAGTATATCCAAGATATCAACTTATTGCACCTAAAAAGCTGAATTGGTTTAAAAGAAACTTTAGGTTTATCAATCAATTTTTTCGTCCCTTGTCTAATTTGCTTTTTTCAGCAAACAGATTTTCAATTGAAGCGACGACTGGTGATGTTTCGGTCATCCGAGAGTTCAATTTTGAGAGCCCTAATCAGCCCAAAGAATTTGTTGTCACGGTTCATGCACGCAACAGCTTAGCTGACGTCAACAGTGACCTCGTAGCCGAAGTCCTGGTTGCAATAAAACTCGTTGATGTAAATGACAATGCACCTGTTTTTGACTCTGACACGACCAGCAGTCCAGTTGTATTGTATTGGGATACCTTAGTCGGAACTAAGTTGTTCAGAGTTCATGCAACAGACGCTGATCAGGTTATTAAATGATTACTCTTATAGTAAAAAGGTATGATACTAAAAAGGGAGATGATACTAAAAAGACTCGAACTGTTAAATTTAAAAATTAATAATCACATTGTGGACCATGAACTCAAAAAGTAATATAAAAACTTACCTCTGTGGGAATATTTTTGTTGAAAATCGTCTTCGATTGTATTTTGCGCCCACACATCTTTATTTCACATTGCTGGGGCCATTTCTAAGTTTTATGGGGCCATTTCAAGTTGACGTGAAAACCACCAAAAATAGTTGTAATAGAAATTGACCGAAAATAGAAATTTACCAGGGTAAGGTAATGATTGGACAAACGAATAGGGGCGAATCTAGGATTTTCAAAAAGAAGGGGGGTTTCAAAAAAATTGATTTTCCGAGCTCTCACAAATTACTTAACAGACCCTATTTTGACCGTAAACAGACCCTACAGACTCTTGTTTTTCCGTCACTTTTTGGAAATCTTTTGACCGAAAAATTGCGTTTTTCGACGCGCGCTCCCCCTTTAATTTTGCATATATCTGCGCCTTTAGAAAAAATTTAAGGTCAGTCAGTGAAACTGGACATCTCACAAATTTGATACAACTTTGATAAATGCTGCAGTTTTGTTGTTTAGGGAGCGAACAGTGCGATCCATTATGAAGTAGTGTACGACAACCAGCAGAGTGTTTTCTTCATTGCTCACAACACATTAGATGACTCTCATTTCGGAACCAGCCACGAAGACACCACCAATTTCACCAACAACAGCAACAACAACACATCGTCAACAAGTCAGTCGGATTTGGAACGTACGGCAGACGAAGACACGGGGGAGGAGGAAGGAACTTGGTTCACTTTGACTAGTCCATTACCAATAGTTGGGATTGGAGAACAACTCAACTGGAACGTTAGTATAATGGGCAGGTCGACATCCCGCTCAAAAACCGCTCAAGAAACGAACACTTTGAGCGGTTCGAGCGCTTTTGGTTAAAGAAACTCTTAAACCGCTCAAATATTTTGGCGGTTTTTAAACGGATTATTAAGATAGATTTGAGCGGTTTTTTACCTGCAATTTTCATTTCTCAAAGATGACGTTTAAGAGTCGATGTACATAGTTCAAAATCTTTTAGACGTCGTGATGATTTTTTTTCATTTTTTTCAGGAAGTCTTAAAATGCTCTGAAACACAAAGTGTATTCATTCTTTTAAATGCACATACGAATGCCCCTAAGTATATATGCAGTTTTTGAGTTCAATCCAAGTTCATTTGCTAGAAGGTAGGCAAAATGCACTTCAATTATGAGGGTTGAAATAGCAACCGGTGAAACCTGGCCAATGATCAAAAAATTCTTTGTGTCTTGAATGTAAACACAAACATTTTATCATAACAAAATTAGCTGGTAGTTTTTTTAGGCCTAATGAACCAAATAAAACCTCTTCTAAATAACAAACAAGGATAGCCGGTTGCTGTGCCAATAGATAGCACAGGATGTTCCGACCGTATTTATTAAAAAACAATACTGTTTAAAAACATTTCTTCGATTTTAGTGCATGGTATGAATAGAGAACTATACAATTGTGTAGAAAATTAGTGAATTAGGCAAGATTGACATCATAATTTTTTTCAATTATATTATCACATTAATATAAAAATTTTTCGAAAGCTTTTTTTGCCAATTAAATGTTTAATGAAACATCAAAAGTTTGTTTTTTATGGTAAAACAAAACAAGTTTTAAAGGTAAAAAAAGGTTTTAAAAAAGTAAACTCCCATATGAAGAGCGCTACTAGATCGCGTTGCTCGCTCAAAAAATGACTAAATTTCAAAAATTTTAAACCATTTTTTTTTGACACTGAGACAATTTCTTAAAATATTTTACTGTCGCTCAAATCACGACTAAAAGGGTTTTATTGTTATCTATCACTCGACCTATTCCGATAATTAGTTCTGGTACCTGATTTTGCGAGGAAAACAAAAAAAAGTGAGAAAAACTAAAACATTTATTGCATACGTTAGAAAAAGAACCTGAAAAATGCTGAAAATTGATCTTTTTTATGAACAAATTTGAATTATAATTGATCACAATCCATTTTTGTTTTTAATAAAACCACTTTTGTGCTCACAAAATCCATGAAAATCGATTATTTTTTGGAGATGTGATTTGCTCATTTGGTTTTTTGCAGCTTTCCGCAAAACTCGAAATAAATTGATCTTGTTCATCACCATAATCACACGTTGACTGTTCTGATTTCAAATAGAAACAGAAACATGAAATATTTTATTGAGCTCACAAAGTGTGACGCCGCCGCCACCACAAAATAAATATGTTTTTATTCCCCTGCAAAAGGAAGGGAAATGCTATTGGAATAATTCGTATAACGTTTTAAGCATTGAGAATTGAAACGACTATTCTCGTTCAAGGCGAATAATAACGATTCTTCTCGTAAAAAACGAGCATACGAAACATTCTTCTCGTAAAATACGAAAGTACGAATAGAGAATACGAAGTTAAGAAGTAACTTCTCATTTGATACGAAAAGTGGTACGATTTCCCATCTGAGTATAAATAGAAGCTCAGAACTACGGGAATTCATTCCCAACAAAATCTCTTCTAACACCAACACCACTCTCTTCAACCACCCCAAACATTATCTAAAAAAATATCCAATTCAGTAAAAATAACTCTGATCTCATCGTTAAAATAGATATTGAGTCAAAAGGCAACTTGCTGTAAATTCATACTAACTTCTTTTCTAATAAAATATTTCTCAACGAATTTTAGATTTACTTTCTAAGATAGAAAGTAGAAAGGACCCTTTATTCCCAGCAAACGTTTTGTCCGGCGCACATAGTGTTGCTAGCTCGTAATAAATTGGTGCGACCAGTGAGGCTCACCTTCTAAAAATTCGCTAAAATTGCTAAAGTCTCAAAAAGAGATAAAAAGCAAAGAATCCAATTCTCAAACTGGGGCATTGTTGAACTTTCTCTTACAAATAAAGAGAAGTAATGAATTTCCAAATCGGAAATTTAAGTTTTCTAAGCAAATTTACATTCTTTTCTATCTTTCTTTTTTTAATTTTAAGCTAAATATAATTTGGTTGATACCCCAATATCCCATCCCAACTTGTCTTTAATGACATTCTCGGGAAACGACCCGAACCAAAATGCTACAGCTTTTTGGAATTCAGTTGAAAACAAAATTCTTTTCTCATTAGGTCAAAGACCTAATGATGGCGACGCACGACGCAGCTATGATAGCAGACAACGATCCCTATTCGGATCATTGTTAACTGATACATCTCTTGAATGGTTCAATGATAATGTAACCAATGCTACCACATGGGCACAACTCAAAGATCTTTTCCTAAACAGATTCACTGACGGACGAGATCAATTCAAACATAGAATTGATGCTGAAAATGCAGCTCGCCAAGAAGGCGAATTAATAAAAAATTACTTCCACAGAATCAAATCTTCTGTAGATAGAGGATGACCCGAAAGTATTGATGTAGCAGTTCATGCTGATGAAGATGCTCAAAATGCTGAGCGAACTATACAAACCAGACAAAGAAGTCAAAAGTATATTGATTTCTCAATTAAAGGACTAAGACCTCTAGCCCTTAAACAAAAAGCTCATGAATACATGATAGTGCATCCAAACTTGAATTGGGATCAATTCACAAATCATGTAATCACTGAGGATCTAACATTCATTGTTGCTACTGATCCTGCTAATAAGTCAACAACGGATAAAATGACTTCATTAGAAACTCAAATTAAAGAACTAACCAAATTGATCAAGAATCAAGAAGTTAGTGCAATCAATGATCAGAATTAATTTCAACGACGTCACCCTGACATCAAGGGAAGACCTAACAGTACACGATTTTGCGAATATTGCAGAATGAATGGACATTCTATATCTATTTGTTCAAAAAAGCAAGTTCAGGACGAAGTAAATAAGTTGCGAAAAGAGCTCACAACAAAAAATGAACGAAGTGTTTCATTTGAACCCGATTATAAACGAAATCGAAGACCAAATAACTTCCCTAACCAGAGTAACCCTAACCCAAGCAACCGGTTTTAGGATAACCAAAACAGAACTACTAACATTTCAAATCCTAGCCAAAATAACTAAGGCATTCGCCATAATTATAACTACAATGGAAACAATTTCCGAAAGGCTAATGCACAATCGTCTTTCAAAAGGCCCCAAACCTATGATAGGTATCCCAGAGAAAACAAATTCAGAGAAATTGAACAAGTTGCTAAACATTTCTACGACCAAGAAAATAGGCAATTCGATAGTAACCCAAGGGGTCGACCATATAGCACTGGAAGCTATAATAACAATAACAGTCGAGATTTTAGATCGAATCAAATACAGTCTGAAACTACCCACTGGGTTGAGGAAGAAGTCAATTACTGTGATGCGATCACTGATTTTTTTCCTTTAAACTATTAAAGTCTCCAAAACCAAGCGATGATAGTAATCCTAAATCAAGGATATATCTTAGCTTATATCATTTTGCCACCGGAGACAAAAATAATAATAGTGGACTTGAAATTGAATTCATGGTTGACCCAGGATCAACTTGTAGTATCATAAACTACCCAACGTATCAGGAATCGGAAAAATTAGGTCAAAAAATGACAATATACCGATCCAAAATTAAAGCAAAGACTTATAATGGATCTGATATACGTATGTTTGGCCATACATCTATTCAATCTTGTTTCGACACTGATGGAAAGTATCCATCTAACCACAAAGTGTGGATAACTGAAGAAAAGACTGCTAATCTATTGGGAGTAGACTTTTGTCATCTCTTCTTAAAAACTCTCTACTTTGATATCCCCGCAGTTGAGCTAAACTCAAAAGAAGGTGTAATATCCTACGGGTTGATGAACAACGATAAAGAATATCCTAATGTTTCAAAAATTGTCTCAATTAACTTGAAAGAACCCTTGTTCATTCCAGCACGCTCTACATACTTATACAAACACTTGGCTGAACCAAATTCATACTTCGAAAAAGGAACTACATTCCTGCCTCATAAAAATACAACCAAAACCGAATTGGTTTTCATAAATACAGTTTGTACTCAAATTGAGCAGAGCCTACCTATCTTAATTGAGAATCAAGAAGATCATTCTGTCACACTAAACAAGTGTGTACTAGGTTATGCAGTAACAGACAATCAAGGATACTAGGATAAAATATTTGCTATCCACGATTGTGATGAGTTCACAACGAGAATTTTAAACGAAAGTTCGGAATTCGATAGCTGTTTCATGCTGAACACTGTTGTCAATACTACACAGGAAAGCAACAACCAATTATCCGACCCCTGTCTAAAATATGTAGACTTCAAAAAAAGGTCCATATTCGAATCGAATATGCCCATTGCGCATACCATTTCTGCTGATAGAGCAATGAAAAAAGGGTTTGCTGAATCAATTAGCAAAAAGTATCCTGAGTTACGACACTTTTGTAACTCAATACATGCTAACATTAATGATATTCTCATCTTCACTGATCCAAAATCTGGAAACTTACATATAACCTCATTACCAAACAGAGGTACTTTCAGAAACCCACTTACGACGCTATATTCAATACCTTGTCCGAAATGAAAGATCATGCTATAGCAAATAACATTCGATATATCGCAATGCCTAAAATTGCTTGTGGCTTAGATAAATGAATTGGGAAGAAATTTCCAAAATCATAGTCGATGTATTCCAACATTCTGGAATTACTATACTTGTCTATGTTTCAGGACAAGAAATCAAGGACATGCCTGCTCTTGAAGTGTTTGATACAGAAAAGGTATCAGAAATATTTGAACAAATTGGTTCAGATATAGTCAAAGTATGCAAAAATGAAAACGAAATAGCAACCGACT